CTCATGTGAGCTTTAAAAGAAAACAGCTTTAAAACAGTGTTACATCTAACCCATTGTTACAACACTCCCCGGTCTCCCCTACATTAAACTGTATTGTCAGGAATAACAATAACTATTTCAAATTTACTGACTTTTTTCTACTAGAAATTATACTGCGTGATTATGTTTTTTTGTTTTTCATTGAGGTTGTAAAAGGCTTAATGTTGGTACGACAAACGCAAATCTATGGCTCATCACCACTGAGAGGAAATGTTGCAACTTTTGGAGAAACAGACTTAACTTCACTAAATGTTTTCCAAATTCCAAAACTTTAAGGTTCCTGAAACCACTTTGAAATCCATTGTATAAATTGGCTGTTGAATAAAATAATGAAGAACATTTTAACGTGATGCTTGTGATTACAGTATCTGTCATATGGTATACTAAAGTTTTATTAGCTTTTATTCAAGAATGTGTGAATATATCTCTAGTGTTGGGACACAACTAAGTACATTTACTCTAGTACTGTACTTAAGTACAATTTTAAGGTATAACTACTTTGCTTGAGTATATCCATTTCATGATACTTCTACCAAGCTACACAAAGGCTACTACGAAGACACATTAAACCAGTATTTCACAAAAAATACAAACATTATAGAACATCTCCTAACCCATTATCTGATGACCCCTCAGATTTATATTATGGCTTTTGGAGGGGGCCAGACCCTTAGGTTGGGATCCACTGGATTAAACTACCTAATTTCTACAAAGTAGTTAAAACTAGCTGCGACCTGCTACAGCAGTAAATGCTGCTTACACGGTGATGCATCAGTTATAACAGCTTAATAATAACATCTATAATAATATCAGTTACAGGGACCATTTCTGCAGAACTAATACTTTTGATACTTTATGTACATTTTGCTGAATGCTTCTCTACTTTTAAGTCCAAATCTTTACTCTTAAGTAAGATTTGGACTCCAGGAGTTTTACTTGTAATGCAGTATTAATACACTTACTACTTTTACTTGGGTAAAGAGCCTAAGTACTTTTTCTATCACTCACAAAATAAAAACTGACTATCAATGACTTGTTTGACTCTGTTTGATAGTACTGTCTCAGAGTGGGTGAGTTGATCTGACCTTGCTGTTGGACAGCGGGTGGTTCAGAGGAGTCCAGGTGCTCAGTTTGGTCGACATCTTAACAGAGTTTGCAGATGACCTCGGCCCAAGTGGCATCTTTGAGTAACAGCTGGGTAAAGGTGATGTACTAAAATACAAAAAGTATGACACTGTTTTCACATGCTTGGTGTTCTCTCCTTACAGTTTTGAGTATGTGTGCAACAAACATTATTGTCTCATTCCTTTCTGATTGTTTACATCAGAGCCACGCCACTTTACAGCGCCTGCCCGAGCACTTTAAGGAGTATGTTTAGCCTCCATCTAAAATATTAAACGACATAACAAACCGGCTTTTGTCTCACTTAGAATGATAATCTTGGCACTGTGTGAGACGTCTTCTTCTTAATATTCCCCATCTTTGGTAGTATGTTACTCTCCACTGTCACCCAATAAACAAAGCATCCTCAACTTTAATTCTATGTCTTGTGAAAACACGAGTTAGGAAAAACATGCAACAGTTCCAAAGTCAAAAATATGACCTGACACACATTCAACCCTCCAGTGTTATAAGAATTTTTATTACTGCTCAGAACGTACAACACACTCCTCTGGTGTTTAACTCACCATTAGTTCTCCTCTGCTGGCAGAAGAAATAAATCCAACTCCTAAACACTCTCTCTCTCTCTCTATGTGCAAACTCCTGCTGGCCTTTGTGTCTGAACACTAAACTCTTCTTCTCTTCTTCACACTTTCCTGTGCACAGTTTACTTGTTTCCATAGGAACCCTGAGTGTACTCTCCATACATGGACAGGCTGTCACCACAGGAGGGGGTGCTGCAAAGCAAATCAAGGCGGAGTGTGTGCAGTGTAGAGTTTGCAGGATCTAATGATGACAAATGTAGTGCAGAGAGCCTGACACTGCAATTGCTTTAAAGACCATCTGCCTCTGAAACACTGATAGTGCAAAAAAAAAAATTACAAAATATAATCTGTTTTACAGCTTGTATAGATCTACTTCAGTAGGCAATTTGTTTTGAGATATGTTTTAAACTTCCAGAATTGGCCATTCATTTCGATGTACATTTGGAATAAAATTTTGACACTGGAAATATGCACTATTGATAACTTATATAAAAACCTTGTAATTGATCAAATAGCTACATTTACGTATATTTCTATTTTAAAGCATTAATTAAAAAAACGTGCGTTACCGCTTAATACATTGACTTGGGTAAATAATGTAGGCGTTGGCTCTGTTTTTTCGGTGCAACAATAATGTGCCTGTCGTATAAAACCGCTGCTGTAGGCCTACTAAAAACATTGTGGGCCTATTTTGCAGACGGCCACCTCAGTCCCACCAGTCAGAGAAGTTTTTCATTCAAAAGCAGAAAGCCTGCTCGTCCTTGGACGGGCGGCCGCGCGCAGCGAAGACAGAAAACCTGCTGTGAAGAAAGAGGGAGAGCTCAGTCAAGTTAAACAGACAGACACTGAGCAGGACCGGAAACTACCCAGCGGGTCTTCAAAATATTTAGGCCTGCATAAAACCTGACATGGCAAAAAAACAACAACGTTTTCAATGGATTTTCAGAAAGCATATGAGTTGTGTTTTTGCTGTATATCATGATAACGTATAAGTATCATTCGAAATTTATATTAATCTGATATATTTAGCCATATATACTGTATAATATAGCTAAATATAACAATATACACAGTGTGCATATATACTGTATGTGTTCTCTATACTGTACCCTGTGTCTGATTTTATTATTGTATAAGTAAGCACATTGTGAGCAATGTACAATCCAGAGTCAAATTCCTCGTATGTGTACACACACCTGGCAATAAAAGCTGATACTGATTCTGATATCGACTTGTGGTAAGTGGAAGCATTTTGGATGAAAGTACCATATACTTAGGCTCTAAAAACTCTATTAGGCTACAAGTAAAAGTCCTTCAAGCAAAATTTACTTAAAGTATCAAACTAAAAGTTCATTTATACTACTTTTCCTACTGGTGGTAGATTGTTATACTGGTTTGTTATACTGGTTTAATCTATGTCACTGCACTAAAACTGTCACATGACCTCACTGCATGTTTGATTAATGACAAAATGGTTTTGTTTCGTTTTAATACTTCAGTGTTTTTCTGGCAAAAATGTACTCCTCTTTGTCTTCTCTGACTCTACACCCACCGTGTCCGCGGTGTCAGCAGTTTCTAGTGGATCCGTTAATGAGGCTTTTATTGTTTTGATAGTTTTGACCGGAAGCCATTTTCCAAAATCTCGGGGGCTTGACGCTCGGCAGAGAGGAGGGACAGAAGGGGGGGAGGAGGACAGAGGAGGAGGACAGGAGGAGACGGGAGGAGGGTGCTGGTGGGGGGACATTCACTCATTGTTACCAACTCGAGGAGCGGCGGAGACCCCGTTGCTACACGTGAATTTTCGGCACAACATTCAGGTAAAGTTGCCTTTAATTTAACCACTTTGTGTTGCGTTTCTCAGCAACAATCACCTCCGCTGCCGCCCGGCTCGGTGCGCTGAATTCTAACACCGGTACGCAGGGTACGTGCCACGGACGGTTACTATCATTCGGGATGAACCAACCGTCATCTTTTGTCTCCCCCTGCGTTGCTTGACATTTCTTATCAGTTATCTGTTTTACTCAGCTTGTAGTGTGTCAGTTACGGTGGGCAGAGGCAAACAAACGACCGTGACATTCCCCGGTTACGTTAGTCAGATACACACGTTTATGACGAGCAATTAATTAATGAATTCCCTGCTAGGAGGAGCCCCTCAACGTTGGCGCACAGGTAGGCTAACGGACGATAACCAAGCTTTAAGATACAGCTGGGCTGGTTTGACATTTGGGTTAAGAAGACACAGGTGTACAAGAAAGTATTATTTGTGTTTTGCATGACGGTGAATGGAAAGCTGTGGGTTGTTATGGGTGTGTACTGTCATGTAAGTGTAAGGTTAGTTAGCAATTTCCGTTTAACGAGAGAATAAAAAGCTAAAGCAAAAGGCTGAAACTATCTTCTAAAAGTTAATCTACACATTATGGTTAAACAACTAAATTTACATCAATACCAGAAATAATAACCTACCACAAAAGAACTGTAAATACACATGTAAATGTTTAAATATAGTAATGATGTGGACATTTTCCATGTATGTAAATGTTTTGCTGTAATTCTTGATTCATGATATATTGGCTGTTAATGACTGTTGTTAATGTTAGCATTCATCTACACAACCCACACACCACAGTTTGTGACCTGAAAAGCAATTACCAAACCTCTGGAAACATTCTTTTGTGTGTTTTTCAGTTGCAGTCTGTAATTAGTCTAATTTGCTTAAAAGAAAAATCAAGCCAAAAAACCCTGGGTTGCTATTTTCAAGTCATAACAGAGAAGAGTAACCAGCTACTGGAGACCTGATACCAAATGTGTATTTTAAAATGTTGTGCTTTTATTTTCCATATCGCAGGCTCAACATCATCTCCATCGGTGGCTGTCACTGATATTTTCTCCAAAGGATCAACACTCTTGGAGGCAGAAGAAGGAGGAACGCGCGACATTTGTTCACAGCGCAGCATCTTAAAGACCCACAGCATCCCTCAGGTGATGGCGGTCTTGTGACACACTGCTGCCGCTGACTGGAATCCGCACAGTGATGGATGCGGTCAGCTTCGACCATGGCCCTGTCGGAATACGCTCCCAGACTGTTTCTCTGTGAGCTGAAGTGGAGAAAGAGACTACACGACAGTCCTGGACTCTCCTTAAGCCTTGTGATTTCCCTTTCCTGTTGAAAGGGCCAGATGCTGACGGGGCTCAACCCCTCTTCCTAAACAGCCGTCCCCGGGTCTTTCTTCTCTCTGCTGACTGTACAGACCAGTCATGGATCTCCTGTGGGTGCTGTCGGTGTCCATGTTGACGGTGTGCGTTGCCATCCCCATGGATGCAGCGGCCGGGAGCCACAGTATGTTCACCTGTGAGCCCATCACCCTGCGCATGTGCCAGGGGCTGCCCTACAACTCCACCTTCATGCCCAACGTACTAAACCATTACGACCAGCAAACCGCCGCCCTCGCCATGGAGGTACAGTACCCTGCTGACACGTGAAAGATGTAAAAAAAAGCTCCAGTTTGTTTAACTCCAAAATGAGATTGGCTAATATTTTGTGCTGATAATCAATAATGATATTTGTGTTTTAAACCATATTGGCACTCACTGAACCATAGCCGCTTTGTGGTTCACCACACCTATTCAGTGGAAAGGGATCATCTGGGATACATTAGGCGTTTCAATATATTACTGTTTGTTGTTTTAAACCCTTTCTGATTGGATTAGATTGGTCGTGGATTAACCTTCGTCAGTGGTGAAAAACATAATTAATTAAAGTATATATGCGCCCACTATTATTTTTGTCACGTTAATGGTTCTATTTATAGTTATAGATTTGGGACACAAATAGGTTATTTCCTGTACCAAATCGGTGAAACAATTGCGGTCACATGAATGAATTCACAATGTCACATTTTCAGAGCTGTGGTTTTATATTTGAATCTTATATGGTAAAAGGGAGAGGGGAGTTCAGCTCCATTCTGTTTTGAGCAATTTTTGCATCACTATTGTCATTTGCAAATTACGTATTCAGTGTTATTCAGTTGTGTGGCAGTTGCCTGTATTGCCACCCAAACAGACTTTTTTTAATGTGGCTTTTATGGAAATGGGCATATTACATCTTATTTTTTACACCGTGGCCATTAATGTTCTGGTTCCTTTCCGCTTTCTTCCTGGCACAGACCCTTTATGGACATTTCCCCCGGTTCTTTCTAGAGCTGAAACAGTAAGCCAATCAATACATTAGTTCATAGACAAAACCTTAATTAATAAGGATTTTCTTCTTTTCTCGGTTTAATATGATTTTAAATAGAAGATATTTGGGTTTTGGACTGTTGGCAGAACAAGACTATTGAATATGTCACTTTGGGTTCTGAGAACCTGTGATGGACAAAGTTTTTTCTGCTGGACATTGATTTTAGCTTACAATTGTTTTAATAGATTTTTGGGTTGGGAATACATATAGGTAATGACCTGGATAAAATGGGCTTTCACATGGTAATTACAATAAATCCCATTTTGGGAGAAGGTGTTTAATATTTTGGCATAGGTAGTATAAAGCTGAGCAGTCCTTTCTGTTTTAGGACATATTCATATCACCATTGTCTTTAGAAGTGGTAAAACATTTTTGATTTGGTTTGTTCAAAGTTCATAAGGAATGTTGCGTACTATGATTTATTGTTTTTTACATGACCTTTACTCGTGTTTTCCTGTAAATATCTCTTCCTATTTGTTCCAGTCTCTGACCTCTTCTGAGCATTTTCCTCTGCTCCATTTCCTCTTGTTTTGTTTGTTGTGTGACTCACATTGTTGTAGACATACAGAAGTGAAATTGACACTGCAGACACACACACACTTTTTTGAGTGAAGCGCACACACAGCATTTCTATCTACATGTTATGTATTGTCGGGTCAGGACAGGGGTTTGTGATCTAATTAGTCTTCCTCACATGTTGATAAGTGGTTCAGTACGTCTGATGCACTGCCTGCCTCATGGACATCAGTAGCCTAGATAGTTATAGTTAGTTGGTAATATCAAAGTGCTAGCCTACTTTAATTTAGCTCCTTTAGCTCCAGGGACTGGGAGTGTATTACCAAAACATTAAGCAGAAAATGAAGTTTTAATACTTGTCCCTGGGGGCAGTGAGAACAGTGCATTATTAAACGCCCCTGATATAACGGGGCGTGTTGTCCTTAAATGGTTTCTGGCTGCATAGCTGGCATGTTGACAGACAGCGATTTTACCACAACATGTAGGGACTCTTCAAATAATTTGTTGTGCACTGAAGCCATTTTACATAACAGGCTTTTTGAGCAGTTAGCCTGGGAGTGAAGAGACCAAACTGTTCTCTGTTTCAGATGAAGGATTAAAGTCTGTGTTTTATTGTTTCTAGCCTTTTAGATTATCTATAGATTTACCAGCCACAGACTGTTGTGGCTGTGTTATCCTCTTTGAAATAATGAGTTAGGCATTTAAAAACAATCATGGAGCATCACCTCGTTAAGTTAATCCCATCCTTTTATACATGCTGATCCATCTGGAACCTCAATATATATATCGAGCAATTACTGGCCGAACTGCACCAAAACATTAGATTGGATGCTCTGTTGACTGAACTTTGTGTGTGTGTGTCAGTCCATCCATCTATATTTATCTCAATTCAATATATTTATTCTCAGCACCATGTTCCCATTGGCTCCCGCTCCCACAATCACTTTTACCCTTCGACACCCTCCCCGCCCTGCCTGCTACAGCCATGATGTCCATGTGTGGAGCGCTGCCGACCATCTGTGCCTGCTCCACTTCGCTGTACTCAGCAGAGATGCATTGAGAGAGAGATGGAGGGCGGGAGGAGTTGTGTGCCACAAAAATCCAGGGTTATGTAACCTCTGAACATGCCCTGCCCGACTGTGGGAGCACACAGCATCGCACCGCATCACATTGCTCCTCATCACAGCTGCACGCACATTTGGAAAAGATGCAAAAACTCCCTCCTCACGCCTGCTCACACTCACTGCTCACAATCACGCTGTGTCCTTTCTTGTCATTGGCTAAATATCCACTCTGATATTCTGGGCTTAGTTCCTCGGCCATGTTGTTTTTGATGGATTCTTACAAGAAAATACATTTTGAATTTGAATGTGTAAATCAGATAGATGTATGTGGTTTTCTCATCGCCGAGATGTTACTAACCCGGTGTGTTTTGAGACCAGGTTAGCTTCTACGCCTCATCACAGTGTGTGGGTTGCAGTGAATAGAGAGAGGCACTTCTGGTGTAGACGGTGTTCACTTTGATTGGTCATGGATCCACAATTAAGTCTCTTTTAGCGCTCAAAAATGCTCGTTGGGTTTGGAAAACGCATGGAAACCCAAAAGGTTCCAAATAAGGGAGACTGCGCCTCTGTTTGGCTCTTGTTTTCCAGATAACTCGCCCTAGATCCAGTTCATGGGAGAATTCAAAGCCTATAAGATGTTGAGAGCAGCCAAATGAGAATTGACAGTTGATTTTAAAGGGAATTAGGTCTGTTGAATAGCCATGGTAATGATGATGAATGCCTTGTGCCGTGGAGCAACTGGGAGTTGGATGAGAACCAACGCCTGCCGATCTTGCAGTTTTTGTTTAACCCCCTGAAGTGGTGTCTGTCTGAATTTCTTTTTTCTTGTCTTGCTTTTCAAGGTCTTTTCAAGGTTTTTGTTTCTTGGGAAAATAGGCGCAATTTGTCATGATATCATTATAAATATTCCTGCTGCTTTATCTTGTGAGATATATTGGTAATTTTCTTTAAGTACAATGTAGTGATGTTTAGCTTGGCTGGCGCTCATTGTGGTGACACCTGATTGCTTGAATGAGAAATGCCCTGCAAACCACATCAGCAGACAGGATTTATACAGGGATAAAATACTTAAAACTTCAAATAATTTTTACTTTATTGCACAAATGCATATTTTATGGCTGTCTGAACGTGAAACAACACAACCAAGATGATTTCTAAAAAAAGGATTTTCTTTTTCGGTGTTCTCCCTCGCTCAGTCAGTCATCACTGACCGCTGAATGACCTCGTAGCTGAAGTGGGACAGCGGCCTCGGGGCTGGGAATCTGCTATTTCCATGCCACAATGATACTGTGCCATACTCACATAAGATAAGTGGGAGCGTGGCGGATTTGACTGGCATTACAAAAAGAAAAAAAGAAATGGGCTAAAATCCCCTTCTTTAGAGATGGATAGACTCTGTATCTACAGTATGAATGCAAATCCGCGTGGGTTCATCACAGTAAATCAATTAAGCTGGTATAAACTGTCCTTGGCGTCAAAAGCAGATGGCATTTGGTTCACAACTCAGTGGTACCATATAGTATGATACCAGGGCTGCTCTTCCTTCAGTAAGAGGCCGATTATAAGTCCACCACTGTTTGCATAGGCTGTCCTTTAAGCGTGAAGTGGAGGCAAGGCCACTTCACTATTTTTAAAAACTGTCCTGTTGCTTTGTCTTTTGAGAAGTAATATTTCTAAGAACAGATTTAGTGGATTTATATATCCTGGTATAAAGAAATGATTCAGATCTTCAAATTATTTAACAAATCAAATTTTCATAGTTTTGTATAGTGGAAAATCTCTGCCTTGTGCTTTATTGTATAGCTAATAGAAGAAATCTGAAGATTTGCCTATATTAAATGGGAATATGGTTCTTTTTTAGACTTCTCAGGTATTTAGGACAAAAAAGCTCTCAAGAGGACAGACAGGTTGATGGAAGTGATTTTCAGAAAGGTTGGAGGCTTGGATATGACTGTCACGGTAAATGTAATGAGAACAGGGATTGCTTGAATGTTTCTTCAAGGCCAGATGGGACAAGCGAGGGTCAGGGTCAACTGAACATGTTAATAAATTAGATTGATAAGAGGGCTTGTTTACAAGAAGCCAAAGCCAAGCCAGCAAATCATTTGTAATGGCTGCGCGATTTAAAAAAAAAAAAACAAGTGAATGTTGTCTTGGTAAACAAGCTCTGACATTCACTATCACAGAGGACCAGGTGAGTAGTAATATAATGAAATTCAAGAAGTCTTTTCTCGTCATCTTGATCTCCGCTTTCCATGGCATTTGTCGCATTTAGTTTTGTACGAAGGGTGTGCAGTGCCACAAAGACTAATCAATGGTCTGTTTTTAATCAGCTCAGTCCCACTTACACTCATTTCCTCCTCCTTTCAGGTCGTTAAGTCAGCTTGTTGTCTCAGGTTTACAACACATTCAGATAACCTGTGTCATGTTTCAGCTGCTGTGTAGAATAACCCAGATACTCCACCCATTCTATGTGACTGCATTTGTAAAGGTGAGGGGTGTGTGTGCGTGAGAGAGAGAGAGATTTTCTGTAAAATGCTGATAAAGCTCTCTGATGGCTCCAAGTTTGTTAAAATGTGCTGCAGTGAACTAAAAAGTACAACATTTAATATGCTGATTGTGTTAGCTAGTAAAGATGT